ACTCCCCTACTCACCCAGTCACTCACCCACTCACTCACCCACTCACCCACCCACTCACCCACCCACTCACCCACCCACCCACCCACCCACTCACCCACCCACCCACTCACCCACTCACCCACTCACTCACTCACCCACTCAGTCACCCACCCACTCACCCACTCAGTCACCCACCCACTCACCCACTCACTCACCCACTCACCCACCCACTCACCCACTCACTCACCCACCCACTCACTCACTCACCCACCCACTCACTCACTCATCCACTCACTCACTCACTCACCCACCCACTCACCCACTCACTCACTCACCCACTCACCCACTCACTCACTCACCCACTCACGCACTCACCCACCCACTCACCCACTCACCCACTCACTCACCCACTCACCCACTCACTCACTCACCCACTCACCCACTCACTCACCCACTCACTCACCCACTCACTCACTCACTCACCCACCCACTCACCCACCCACTCACTCACTCACTCACCCACTCACTCACTCACTCACCCACTCACTCACTCACTCACCCACTCACCCACTCACTCACCCACTCACCCACTCACTCACTCACTCACTCACCCACTCACTCACCACTCACTCACCCACTCACCCACTCACTCACCCACTCACCCACTCTCTGTCTCCCTGTCTCTGTCTCCCCGTGCAGCCGCTGGTCTCCCTGGGCGGCGGTCACGGCGGGGGTCACGGTGGGGGTCACGGTGGGGGTCACGGTGGGGGCCTGTCATCGTCATGGGGACTGGGGGGCGGAGGCCCCAGGGGGTCACGACCCCTGGACCAGGTCACATGTTACAAGGTTCGTCTGTGTGTGTCTGTGTGTGTGTGTCTGTGTGTGTGTGTCTGTGTGTGTGTCTGTGTGTGTGTCTGTGTGTGTGTGTGTCTGTGTGTGTCTGTGTGTATGTGTGTGTGTCTGTGTGTATGTGTGTGTGTCTGTGTGTATGTGTGTGTGTGTCTGTGTGTCTGTGTGTCTGTGTGTATGTGTGTGTGTGTCTGTGTGTCCGGCAAAACAACCCCCTACCTCCTCGCGGTGCCGGACGGGCAACTCTGTCGTGGACAGTGCTGTGGGGGGAGGTCCAATTTTGATTGGCTCCTCCCCTCATGGCATCTGTGTCCACCACAGGGGCTAAACCGGGGCTCTGGACGGGTGCGAGGGGCTGGTAACCCCTCCACCTTCAATTAATTACCACGAAACCACGAGTTAAACTGAAATATGTAACTAATAAGCTTGTGCCGGAGGCCCCGGGGGGCCAGGCGTCTATGACGTCTCCTGGCCAAACCCCAATTGGCGGAGCCAGGAGATTGAATATTTAGCCTCGGGGCTCCTCCAGAAACAACGAAAAGCCACTACGGGTGGCCACGTGGAATGTTCGAACGCTCACTGCGGAGGAGAGGCTGCCACTCCTCTGTCGGGAGCTGGACCGGTACCGCCTGGATTTATGTGGCATTCAGGAGGTCCGGTGGACTGGCTCTGGCTCCTGCCACCATAAGGGGTGGACAGTCCTCTACTCGGGGCAGCAGACTGCCAAACAACAGGGTGTGGCTCTTCTTTTGAACAAAAGAATGAAGGGGGCGTGGAGAGCGTGGCGGTGAGGTGTGGGAAGCTGTAAGCCCCAGGCTACTTTGGGCTCGCCTTCCCATCAACCGGAGGCGAGGAATGGTGGTCGTGGTTACTTATGCCCCCACCGAAGATGAACATCCGTGGAGGGATGCAGGCAGAGCAGATGAGTCAGATGCCTTCTATGACCTCCTGTTACAGGTGCTGGCTGAAGTGGCCCCTCGGGATAGAGTCATCATGTTGGGTGACTTCAATGCCCGAGTTGGTCATGATACTGGCACCTGGTCTTGAGTGATTGAAGGGCATGGGCCAGATCAGCTCAATAACAACGGCAGGAGGCTGCTAGATTTTTGTGCAGCCCATGGGCTTGTAATTACCAACATGCTGTTCCGGCATCAGCGCATCCACACAACATCATGGATGCATGCCGGGTCCAAGCAAGAACATCTGCTGGACTACATAGTGACGGACCAGCGAATGCGAGCCCATGTCCTTGACACCAGGACCTACCGTGGAGCTGATCTGCCCTCTGACCATCGACTAGTCATCTGTAAGATGCGCCTGCCATTCTTCCACTCCGGTGGTGGGTGTACACCCAGGACCCCATTGCAACCTAAAGTGGCCTGGTCTCAGTTATCTGATGACAGTTGCAAGCTAGAATTTCATCATCGCTTGCAGCTGGGATTGGCATTGTCCCCGACTCCTCCTGGTGTCGAGGGTAAATGGGCGAGGTTTAGGACTGTGACTCATGCAGCTGCAATGGCTGCTTTGGGTACGCGGTCCAGACCTCCCCAGAGACCCTGGCTGACAGAGGAGGTGTTCAGGATGGTTGAGAAAAAGCGACAGGCCCACTGTCATCGGCTACAGAATCCCACGTCAGAGAATGAGGAGGCTTACTGGAGCCTTCGCTCGGAGGTTCGGAGAGCCGTGAGGCGCTGCAAGGATGGGTGGTGGTCGCGGTTTGCTGAGGAGATGGAGTCTGCCTCAGTGGCCCGTGATCACAAATCTCTATTTAACTCCATCAAAAAAGTAACCTGCAGCATCACACCTATTACCATCATTAGGGGAAAAAACGATGATCCAATCTCCGACCCCCAGGAACAGGTTTGCAGATTTGCTGAGCATTTCTGTGAGGTCCTGGGGGAGGGAAAATCCCTCAGCCAGGAAAATATCGTGGCACAAAGTGAGGATGACCCTGCTGAGGCTGCGGTGCCTCAAATATTGGAAGAAGTCACCCCCTGTGAGTGGCTGGCTGAGGTGCCATCTGTTGAGGAAGTACTGAAAGCGACCCGGAGTCTGAGACCAGGAAAGGCAGCGGGCAGAGATGATCTCCCAAGCGAAATGCTGAGGGAGAGTGGCGTTTGTGCACAGACTGCCCTTTATGACATCATAACAACGGTCTGGACCACTGGACAGGTTCCGCAGGATCTGAAGGATGCCCTGGTGGTCCCCCTTTTTAAGAAGGGGGACCGCACAGACTGTAACAACTACAGGGGCATCTCACTCCTCAATGTGCCGGGAAAGGTCCTGGCAAGGATTATTCAGCATCGCCTTGCCAGGCACGCTGAGGAGAGGCTTGCGGAGCCCCAATGCGGTTTCAGGAAAGGGCGGTCCTGCACAGATGCCATATTTTCTGTCCGTCTGCTACAGCAGAGGTGTAGGGAATTCCAACAAGATCTACATCTCTGCTTTATTGACCTGGTCAAGGCCTATGATACCATCAGTAGGCCTGAGCTCTGGGTTGTTCTTCGTGCTTTTGGAGTACCTGACCCTCTGCTCACGATCATTAAAGACCTTCATGATGGTGAGCGGGCCCGGGTAAAACTATGTGGCCGGGAGTCAGAGCCATTCTCTGTTAACCTTGGGGTGCGACAGGGATGTCCTCTGGCTCCCACATTATTTAACATCTATTTTGACCACGTAGTTCGTGAAGCCTTCAATAGCTGTACCGGGGGAATCTCCATATGGTACAGATATAATGGGAGGCTGATCGATGCCCGGGTGCGGTCAAGGGATGGCTCCCTATTGCTCAACCACGTTATGTATGCTGATGATTTGGTAATAGCTGCGCATTCGGAGGAGTTGGAGACGCTGCTGCTGAGACTGGAGCGTGCCACTAAGAGGTGGGGCCTTACCATCAGCCCCACCAAAACTAAGCACCTGCCTGGGTATTTTGTACCATCGGACACTCCACCCCCACAACTCCCAATCGGTGATGGGGCAGTTGTGGAGAGAGTGGAGAGTTTCCCATACCTGGGCAGTGTGCTTATGACTGGCTGCAGTTTAACAGCAGAGGTCTCACTCCGAATCAGTCGAGCGGCAATATCTTTTCATCGGTTGCGTAACGCTGTGTGGAAGCTACCTGGTCTGTCGCTCCGCACTAAGCTTCAGGTCTTCTCGACCACGGTCATTCCCTCCCTTCTCTACGCTTGCGAAACGTGGACCCCCCTAATGGAACATCTTCGCCGGTTAGAAACATTTAGGCTGGCCTGCCTACGATGCATCCTGGGTTTAACCAGACTGGATTGTGTGAGGAGCTCAAAAATCTTTGAAAGATCTGGGCAAGGTCCCATCGGTGAGCTCCTCCGGCGGGGAAGGCTGCGATGGCTGGGTCATGTAGCCCGCATGCCCAGCCACCGCATGCCGAAACAGCTTTTGTTCGGCCGGATTGAGGGGGCTAGGTCGGGCGCGGCACGGGCTAGAGAAGAGATGGAGTGATGTGGTACAGGAGGACGTGGAGCTGAGTGGACTTGCCGATGACTGGTACCAGCGGTGTCAAGATCGGCCTCTGTAGAGGAGGCTCGTGAAGGACGCTACTGGGCAGTTGGAGGCAGTCGCCCTCCAACATCAACGGAGGGCGGAGGAGCGACGCTCACAACAACGAGCGGAGCGCCGGGTGGCTAAAGCACAGCAAGTTGGCAAAGTAGGGGGCACAGGTGGTGCATCAGCCAGTCATCTCAGTCAGTCGACCCGTGGCACCTGGGTCTGCCCCGTGACCTCCTGCCAGCGGGCGTTCGACACTTCACGTGGCCTCAGGGTGCACATAGCCTGGCACAAGCGTCGTGGTGACGTCACCGCCACTTAGTGGCGAATGGCGGTTGTTGTTCTGTGTGTCTATGTGTGTGTCTGTGTGTGTCTGTGTGTGTGTGTCTGTGTGTGTCTGTGTGTGTCTGTGTGTGTGTGTCTGTGTGTGTCTGTGTGTGTGTCTGTGTGTGTCTGTGTGTGTGTGTCTGTGTGTGTCTGTGTGTCTGTGTGTGTGTGTCTGTGTGTGTCTGTGTGTGTGTGTGTCTGTGTGTGTGTGTCTGTGTGTGTCTGTGTGTGTCTGTGTGTGTGCGCCACGAACCGTGACCCTGACCCACACACACGAATCCCCCTGTACTAAATACAAGGAACCCGGTCTCTCTCTGTCTCGTGTGACTGACTGACTGTGTGACTGACTGTGTGACTCACTGTGTGACTGACTGTGTGACTGACTGTGTGACTGTGTGACTGACTGACTGTGTGACTCACTGTGTGACTGACTGTCTGACTATGACTGACTGACTGTGTGACTCACTGTGTTACTGACTGTGTGACTGACCGACTGTGTGACTGACTGTGTGACTGACTGACTGTGTGACTGACTGACTGTGTGACTGACTGACTGTGTGACTGACTGTGTGACTGACTCACTGTGTGACTGACTGACTGTGTGACTGACTGACTGTGTGACTGACTGACTGTGTGACTGACTCACTGTGTGACTGGCTGACTGTGTGACTGACTGACTGTGACTGACTGACTGTGTGACTGACTGACTGTGTGACTGACTCGCTGTGTGACTGACTGTGTGACTGACTCACTGTGTGACTGACTGTGTGACTGACTCACTGTGTGACTGACTCACTGTGTGACTGACTGACTGGCTGTGTGACTGACTCACTGTGTGACTGACTGACTGGCTGTGTGACTGACTGTGTGACTGACTGTGTGACTGACTCACTGTGTGACTGACTGACTGGCTGTGTGACTGACTCACTGTGTGACTGGCTGTGTGACTGACTGACTGACTGTGTGACTGACTGACTGTGTGACTGACTGTGTGACTGTGTGACTGACTGACTGTGTGACTGACTGACTGTGTGACTGACTGACTGGCTGTGTGACTGACTCACTGTGTGACTGACTTACTGGCTGTGTGACTGACTCACTGTGTGACTGACTGACTCACTGTGACTGACTCACTGTGTGACTGGCTGTGTGACTGTGTGACTGACTCGCTGTGTGACTGGCTGACTGGCTGTGTGACTGACTCACTGTGTGACTGACTGACTGGCTGTGTGACTAACTCACTGTGTGACTGACTCACTGTGTGACTGACTGACTGACTGTGTGACTGACTCACTGTGTGACTGACTGACTGGCTGTGTGACTGACTCACTGTGTGACTGACTGACTCACTGTGACTGACTCACTGTGTGACTGACTGACTCACTGTGACTGACTCACTGTGTGACTGGCTGTGTGACTGTGTGACTGACTCACTGTGTGACTGGCTGACTGGCTGTGTGACTGACTCACTGTGTGACTGACTGACTGGCTGTGTGACTGACTCACTGTGTGACTGACTCACTGTGTGACTGGCTGTGTGACTGTGTGACTGACTCACTGTGTGACTGACTCACTGTGTGACTGACTCACTGTGTGACTGACTCACTGACTGTGTGACTGACTCACTGTGTGACTGACTCACTGTGTGACTGGCTGTGTGACTGACTCACTGACTGACTCACTGTGTGACTGACTCACTGTGTGACTGACTGTGTGACTGTGTGACTCACTGTGTGACTGACTCACTGTGTGACTGACTCACTGTGTGACTGTGTGACTCACTGTGTGACTGTGTGACTGACTCACTGTGTGACTGGCTGTGACTATCTCCGTGATTGCCTCAGTGTGGTGAGCGTGGTCACTACGCCAACCGCTGTCCCAAGAGCCACCTGGCCTTCCTCGCCGGCCAGTGACGCCTCGCCTCATTGGACGACGCCTTCCTCGCCGGCCAGTGACGCCTCGCCTCATTGGTCGACGCCTTCCTCGCCGGCCAGCAACGCCTCGCCTCATTGGTCAACGCCTTCCTCGCCGGCCAGCGACACCTCGTCGCCTGATTGGACGACGCCTTCCTCGCCGGCCAGCGACACCTCGTCGCCTGATTGGACGACGCCTTCCTCGCCGGCCAGCGACACCTCGTCGCCTGATTGGACGACGCCTTCCTCGCCGGCCAGCGACACCTCGTCGCCTGATTGGACGACGCCTGCTCGTCAGGAGACTCGCGATTGATTGGTCGACGTCCCCAATCGTCATGGCAGTGACGTCTCTTCTGATTGGTGCTCGCCGAAGCGGGGGGGGGGGGGGGCGGTGGGCGGGGGGTGGGCGGGGGTACAGAACGATGAACGGTCGCTCCTGATTGGTCGTCGCCAAACGGACTTGGAACGCAGTCTTCCGATTGGCCAGAGGCCGCGCGGGGAACAGCAGCGCTGGCTCCCCATTGGTCGACGGAGCGGTGGGGGTACCGGGAGGATTTCCCACTCACGGCCAATATCAATGGCTGGGCGGGGAGCCGTGCCTCCTCTAGGTCGACTCAGCCTCAACATGAGTGGTGGTTGTGGTGGTTGTGTGTGTGGTGTGTGTGGTGGTGTGTGTGGTGTGTGTGTAGTGTGTGTAGTGTGTGTGGTGTGTAGTGTGGTGTGTGTGTAGTGGTGTAGTGTGGTGTGTGGTGGTGTGTGTGGGTGGTGTGTGTGTGTAGTGTGTAGTGGGTGGTGTGTGTGTAGTGGTGTAGTGTGGTGTGTGTAGTGTAGTGTGTGTAGTGTAGTGTGTGTGTGGTGTGTGTGTAGTGTGTGTGTGTAGTGTGTGTGGTGTGTGTAGTGTGTGTGGTGTGTGTAGTGTGTGTGGTGTGTGTAGTGTGTGTGGTGTGTGTAGTGTGTGGTGTGTGTAGTGTGTGTGTGTGGTGTGTAGTGTGTGTGTGTAGTGTGTGGTGTGTGTGTAGTGTGTGTGGTGTGTGTGTGTAGTGTGTGTGTAGTGTGTGGTGTGTGTGTGGTGTGTATGTGTGTAGTGTGTGGTGTGTATGTGTGTAGTGTGGTGTGTGTGTAGTGTGTGTGTAGTGTGTGGTGTGTGTAGTGTAGTGTGTGGTGTGTGTGTAGTGTGTGTGTGGTGTGTGTAGTGTGTGTGGTGTGTGTAGTGTGTGGTGTGTGTGTGGTGTGTGTAGTGTGTGTAGTGTGTGTGGTGTGTAGTGTGGTGTGTGTAGTGTGTGGTGTGTGTGTAGTGTAGTGTGTGGTGTGTGTAGTGTAGTGTAGTGTGTGGTGTGTGTGTAGTGTGTAGTATGGTGTGTGTGTGTGTGTAGTGTGTGTGGTGTGTGTGTAGTGTAGTGTGGTGTTTGTGGTTTGTGGTTTGGTGAACGTTGGGGAGACAAAGGTGGCAAGGGCAGACGTGGTGTCGGTGGATAGTTGAGTGAGTGGGTGGGTGAATGAGTGGGTGGGTGAATGGGTGGGTGGTGAATGAGTGGGTGGGTGAGTGAGTGGGTGGGTGGGTGAATGAGTGAATGGGTGGGTGAGCGAGTGAATGGGTGGGTGAATGAGTGGGTGGGTGAATGGGTGGGTGGGTGGGCGAGCGAATTAGTGAGTGGGTGAGTGAGTGGGTGGATGGGTGAGCGAATGAGTGGGTGAGCGAATGAGTGGGTGAGCGAATGAGTGGGTGAGCGAATGAGTGGGTGAGCGGGTGAGTGAATGAATTAATGAGTGGGGTGGGTGAGTGAATGATTGAGTGAATGAGAGGGGTGGGTGAGTGAATGAATGAGCGAGTGAATGAGTGAATGAATGAGTGAATGAGTTTTGTCTGTGTGTGGTGTGTGTAGTACATAGACACTGCTGCTGCTACTCGCTACTAACACAGCACTTGCCCCTACAGCCCTGCTAGAAGCTACCTGGGGGAGCTTTGTCTGTGTGTGGTGTGTGTAGTACATAGACACTGCTGCTGCTACTCGCTACTAACACAGCACTTGCCCCTACAGCCCTGCTGGAGCCTACCTGGGGTAGCTTTGTCTGTGTGTGGTGTGTGTAGTACATAGACACTGCTGCTGCTACTCGCTACCAACAGCACTTGCCCCTACAGCCCTGCTGGAGGCTACCTGGGGTAGCTTTGTCTCGTCTGCGTGCGTCTGATCAATAAAGAATCGATGAACACTGCAGCCGCTGTACATTGTGTGGTCGATGAGTGGGTCTCGTCTCATGTCAGCGGGTTTCCTATCTCTTAACGTTGCCCCATGGCTTAATGAACAAATCTTTGATGATAGCCAAATAATATGATGGTTTGAACTAATCAAGATGGCTTGAACTAATCAAGATGGCTTGAACTAATCAAGATGGTTTGAACTAATCAAGATGGCTTGAACTAATCAAGATGGCTTGAACTAATCAAGATGGCTTGAACTAATCGAGATGGCTTGAACTAATCAAGATGGTTTGAACTAATCAAGATGGTTTGAACTAATCAAGATGGTTTGAACTAATCAAGACGGTTTGAACTAATCAAGATGGCTTGAACTAATCAAGCTGGTTTGAACTAATCAAGATGGCTTGAACTAATCAAGATGGTTTGAACCACTCAAGATGGATTGAACCAATCAAGATGGTTTGAACTAATCAAGATGGCTTGAACTAATCAAGATGGCTTGAACTAATCAAGATGGTTTGAACTAATCAAGATGGTTTGAACTACTCAAGATGAATTGAACCAATCAAGATGGTTTGAACCAATCAAGATGGCTTGAACTAATCAAGATGGTTTGAACTAATCAAGATGGCTTGAACTAATCAAGATGGCTTGAACTAATCAAGATGGCTTGAACTAATCAAGATGGCTTGAACTAATCAAGATGGTTTGAACTAATCAAGATGGTTTGAACTAATCAAGACGGTTTGAACTAATCAAGATGGTTTGAACTAATCAAGATGGTTTGAACTAATCAAGACGGTTTGAACTAATAAAGACGGTTTGAACTAATCAAGACGGTTTGAACTAATCAAGACGGTTTGAACTAATCAAGACGGTTTGAACTAATCAAGATGGCTTGAACTAATCAAGATGGCTTTAACTAATCAAGATGCCTTGAACTAATGAAGATGGTTTGAACTAATCAAGTGGTTTGAACTAATCAAGATGGCTTGAACTAATCAAGATGGTTTGAACTAATCAAGATGGTTTGAACTAATCAAGATGGTTTGAACTAATCAAGATGACTTGAACTAATCAAGATGGCTTTAACTAATCAAGATGGTTTGAACTAATCAAGATGGCTTGAACTAATCCAAATGGTTTGAACTAATGAAGATGGTTTGAACTGATCAAGATGGTTTGAACTAATAAAGATGGCTTGAACTAATAAAGATGGTTTTAACTAATGAAGATGGCTTGAACTAATCAAGATGGCTTGAACTAATGAAGATGGTTTGAACTAATGAAGATGGCTTGAACTAATCAAGATGGTTTGAACTAATCAAGATGGTTTGAACTAATCAAGATGGTTTGAACTAATCAAGATGGCTTGAACTAATCAAGATGGCTTGAACTAATCAAGATGGCTTGAACTAATCAAGATGGCTTGAACTAATCAAGATGGTTTGAACTAATCAAGATGGCTTGAACTAATGAAGATGTTTGAAATAATCAAGATGGCTTGAACTAATCAAGATGGTTTCAGTCGAAACGTCGTGAAAATTTAATTGTTTTATATTTTTATTATTTTATTGTTTCCCTTCTACGTGGTGATTTTACCGAAAGAACCAAGAATATGAATCCCTGCAGTCACGAACGCTTTAAATCAAAATCTAATCAAGATAGCTTGAACCAATCAAGATGGTTTGAACCAATCAAGATGGTCAGAACCAATGAAGATGGGTTGAACTCATCAAGATGGCTTGAACTAATCAAGATGGCTGAACGAATCAAGATGGCTATATTCTTAGTTTTTTCGGTAAAGTCACGTTGAAGAGAAACAACAAAATAACAAAATATATATAAAACAATAAAAAAATAATTCTCACGACGTTTCGACCATAACTCAAACGGTCATCAAACCATCTTCATTAGTTCAAGCCATCTTTATTAGTTCAAACCATCTTGATCAGTTCAAACCATCTTCATTAGTTCAAACCATTTGGATTAGTTCAAGCCATCTTGATTAGTTCAAGCCATCTTGATTAGTTCAAGCCATCTTCATTAGTTCAAGCCATCTTGATTAGTTCAAGCCATCTTCATTAGTTCCAACCATCTTCATTAGTTCAAGCCATCTTGATTAGTTCAAACCATCTTGCTCAGTTCAAACCATCTTCATTAGTTCAAACCATTTGGATTAGTTCAAGCCATCTTGATTAGTTCAAACCATCTTGATTAGTTAAAGCCATCTTGATTAGTTCAAGCCATCTTGATTAGTTAAAACCATCTTGATTAGTTCAAACCATCTTCATGGGTTCAAACCAGCTTGATTAGTTAAATGACCGTTTGAGTTATGGTCGAAACGTCGTGAGAATTTTTTTATTGTTTTATATATATTTTGTTATTTTGTTGTTTCTCTTCAACGTGACTTTACCGAAAAAACTAAGAATATGAATTACTGCAGTCACGAAAGCTTTAAATCAAAAGATGGCTATAGCCAACTAATCAAGATTGAACCTACTCGTGTGACGTCACGTCCGTCATGCGCGCGCAACTTCCAGTCTGGCTCTGGAGGGGGGGGGGGGAACGACGCCCCTGTTGGGGATCGTCACTTCCGGCGATAACACCCACTCCTATACCACCCGCCAGAATGCATTTCGGATCATGGCCCGAAACGTCGGTTAATTTCTGTCGTTTGTTTTGTTGTTATTGTTCGTGGGGGTTGTCGCCGCCTTTGTGTTTTGTGTTGAGATAAAAATAAATAAAAATTAACAAATAAGGAAGTTGGTTCCGTCTTCCGGTGACGTCATCACCGGTGCTATAACGGCGGTGACGTGACGGGCTGAGAGAGACACAGAGACAGAGAGAGAGACACAGAGACACACAGAGAGACAGAGAGAGAGAGACACAGAGAGACAGACACAGAGACACACAGAGAGACAGAGAGAGACACACAGAGAGACAGACACAGAGACACACAGAGACACAGAGGGAGACACAGAGAGAGACAGAGAGAGAGAGGCAGAGGGAGACGCAGAGAGAGACGCAGAGAGAGACACAGAGAGAGACACAGAGAGACAGAGAGGGAGACACAGAGAGAGACAGAGAGGGAGACACAGAGAGACACAGAGAGAGACACAGAGAGAGACACAGAGAGAGACACAGAGAGAGACACAGAGAGAGACACAGAGAGAGACAG